GTCCATCATCTACTTAGGACCTAGACAGCAGTGTCGTCCTTCCCTTGGTCTAAACACTCACACAGGAAAACACACACACAGGAAAACACTACTAGGAAACACAACCATTTTTCTCCTCCTGCATCTAATTTTGCTCCTGTCTTGTTAAGTAAATGTACAACATGCAGCGTTTATCATCAACAAATCAATACTACATTAATTTTAACGGATTGGTATTATTACTGTAAACAAGGAGTTCTGTCATCGAGATGGTCGGCGGCCTCCCGCTTCGCCTTCTGATTAATAACCTACCACTTCTATTCAGTGTCTTAAATTATTAAAAGTTATTAATTCCTGTGTTAACATATGTGTGAAGCTTTACATGGGTATCTGTATATCTTTAGTGTATATCCATATTTATTGTGCATAACTTGTCATCAAGTGGGTGTGACTGGGTGTGGGAGAGCTTCTGTTTGAAAATATATGAGTGTATTTCTGCGATTTGTCTTATGTATTGAGTTTTAGTGTGAAGGACCCCCTTGAAAACAAGATAATCTATCTCAAGGGTTTTATCCTAATAATGAACGATTCAGTGTCCGCTGCTAATCTTTACTGCGCAAAATACTTTGCAGCACGAAACAATACAAAGCTGCGTGAATGCAAACCCAAGCGTGGAAGTCAAAGGTTGCACTTATTGCAAAAATCAAACACCATTATTCCAACAAGGATATAACATTAATGTTTAAAATGCAACGAGCGCCACCATGTAAATTAATAATAATACCATTTCAGGGGTTTGTGCTGTCTTTATTGCTGCAGCAGCTACTTAAAGCAGCAGCCATACTGTATATGGACGAACACATACACAGACTTGGTATAGCCGGGTGTGGACTCCACGACTGTGTGAAGCTGAGTGAATTCTGCTGCAATGGAAAACAGCAGGGGTCCACTCTGCTGCCTTTATTCAATTCAATTCGCCTCGCTCACTTCTCTGGCATATATAAGAATATTCATGTGTGTGTGGAAGAAAAAGAATGGATAGAGGCATAAATAACCTACTGCACTGTGCATGTCTCTATAAGTAAGTGCATCTGCAAGTGTTGGGGTAATACCTCCAATGGCAGACTAATGATTGGTCTTATCGACACCCTGCAGTGAATGTGGGCCTTTGTCTCCTCTCGGGACGCATTATGGAAAGCTTAGGGGGCTGCGTTTGACTCCTTTTCATTCTCTCACCCACTGATAAAACCCAGTACACACACACACACACACACACACAAAAGGCAAATGTCATACGGCTCCTACAAAGTTGAGACATAAGACACCCCCGAACTCCTGTCATCCTAAATTGCAAAAGTTATGCAAACAGCTCACAAACTCAGAAAAGGTCCCTGGTAAAATTACATTTTGGAAAAAAAGAATTATATAGCTTGAAGTCAATATTCATTTACGATATACAACAAATCGGGTGAGAGGATGGAAGGGGAAAACTACAGGATGTGTTCTTTAAAGTCAGTTTCAATATTCCTTTCACATTTACTGCATATTATACAACTAAGTTATAGCCAATAGAATAAATTGTATAGTTACTTAAAACACAATTGTTCTGTCGCATTCGATTAGAGCATTTTAAGTTAATAAAAGAGATTTAAAGAAATAACATTACCACAAGTACATCTATGACGTCTCTGGACATGTGGTTACCCTAATGTAAAATATCTGGATTTATTTAGAGGCTTTTATGTGGGCAAGTACATTTTTTTCTTCTATGTTTTATGATTCATGCTCCAAGACATTTCATAGGAATCTAACAATCGTAAAATTGTCTCATTTAGAATCAAATATAAATGATATATGATGTGGATAATGGCTCCTTCATTCATGTACGTCTGCAGGTATCTAAGGAATAGTTAAGAGCAAGTTTACACCTTTTTCCAGCTTCATGGAAAAAAAAAAGCTCTGTTCCTTCCTCAGTGTTGATTTGAGGGTTAGAGGTTGGGGCAGGGTCCCTCAGTCAAGCAGTTAATGAAATGAAAATGTTTTCCTTTCTGACGATGGCGAGACATTTTTTAAGACTTCAGCACACTCCTCTGGGAAGTGTAGCCATTTCTACGGCTGTTTCCCGCTGAGTCTATAAAATCCTCCCTCTCTATCTTTCTCCTCTGTGTGTTCTTTCACAGCCTTGTTTTCAAGTGGTTATTGTGCCAAATAGCCGTTAAGTGCATTGTAATCTCACTCTGGACTCTGTCTTTCGATTCCACCTCATACTTCCCTTTCAGTCATTCACTGTTCACTTATTTTGTTGCACAATTACTCTAAGGGGATTATTGAAGCACAGAAGATCCCTGCTCTCTCTTCTACTTTCTATTTCTCTCTCGATGATAAAGAATATTCAAACCTTCGTTGAGTTGCCCTCTCTCTCTCTCTGTGTCGCCGGGGCCAAGCTGTGAGGATTTAGGGGCCTTATTTAGTAGGCAGGTACAGTCGAGTCTCCCCCATCCTTCCCCTCTCAGCAATTAGACCAAGGCCAGGAAGTGCCGTGTTTTATGGCCTTATAAAGACATTAGAGGTATCGCTTCATTGCCCCCCCCCCACACTCTATTTACCAGTTCTACTCTATCTCACCCCTTTGTGATCCTCTCTCATTCTCACTTTGAAATCCTCCCCTCCAACATCCACCTCCGTCTTTTTCATCATAACTATCAAACCTTCTTTCTCTGTTCAATTTTTCACTCCCTGCCCCGTCATGCTCATCAGTCTTTCGTCCATCCGTCCGAACGTTACCATTCTTGACACTTGCCCGTCATGTTTTTCTTCCCCTTTCCCTGCAAACACAGTGTTGTGTTTCCTCCCCTCCGCACACAATTGAAAACCGTCGTCTATCTTTTCGCCGCTCTTTTGCACGAGCATTAAACAGAAAATTACTCGCTCTGTCCACCCGTCACGCAGCGAATCAATATGACTTGACAGAGTGACTCATTTGCCTGTCATTTTCCCATATGCGATTTCTGAAATATGAAACTGAGAGACACACTGTGGCTTGAGCCTCGCCCACCTCCCTGCCTCCGCACAGACAAATGGACACCAAAGAGAGAGCTGCGCTGCGTCTTGAATCCCAGCAGCTTTTTAAAAGCCAGCTTAGACAGACTTGGCTGCTCTTGAAAGACTTTCTTCCACTGGAGCAGAGGACAGACACAATTGAGAGGAAAAAGAGGGGAGAAGAAAGAGCAGTGGCATGTCTGGATATTTGCTTACAACACCCTCCACCTTTTTCCTTCCTTTCTTCCCCCTGAGAAGTCATTTATTCCTCAAATGAGTTCAGAACCACTTCCATTCCAAAACAACTCTGTCTGACCCACCTGGGGTTATTTGGGCAGAGAATTTGGACAATTCCTTTGGAGGGTAGTTTCCCAATTCTTTACACCAGCACTCCACACGCCCATAGCCCACCCTTTACTCTATCGTTATCATCTCTGTTCATAGACCTGAGACAGCGGGTGGCCTGAGAGCAAGAACAGAAGAAAAGAGAGACGATTGCACGGCTCAGGCAGACAGAAAAAAAGGTGCATGAGACGTGGAGAGCTAGAGGTGAGAATTGAGTTTGACTGCGTTGGTTTGATGTGAAATGAGACAAGCTGAACTGGATCTTTTAGGAAAACTCAGAAACCCTGGACTGGCTCCAACAAAATCGTCTTGTTCCTGTTCCAAGAAAAAAAGAAAAAATCCCACCGCTGCTACTGTAACCTCCGAGTGGGAGGTTGAGGTGGAAGGGAGTCTCAAAAGAAAGGAGGATGACAAGAACGGAGAAAAAACAACATTTTCTTTTCCTCTGGCTGCCTCCTTCCCTTTAACCATTCCTCCTATCTGTGTACGGTGGCAGCCGCTCCGGCCATGCCTGCGCGCTAGGAAATGATTTACTGCCGCTTTCAGCCTCACACAGAGAGGGAGAGCAGGGAGATTAGTGTGTGAGAGACGCTCACTGTGGGAATCGCTGAAACACAGTTAAGACAATAAGGTGGCTCTTCTCCCAGTTTCACTCATGTGTTTGGGCTTTTGGCTTCGCTGTACTCCAAGGTAAAGATTTATTTTTTCTCTCCCTGAAACATTGAATTTTCTATATTTTAATGAATGCTGGAGAGAAAAGGTCAAATCCTTACAACGTAAAATGGAATCCCTGTATACTGACATAAAACAGGAAAGAACAAAACATCTGTGATAACCCAGGTGAAGGATAAGTAAATACTGTTAATGTCCTTTTCACACTTCACCACTTGTAAGATCATGTTTAGTACATGAAATGTAAAGATATTTTATTTTTCTGAGATATAATTTTATTCAGAGAATAATTAATGGATCTTAATGAAAAAAATACAAATCTGACATGTTTAGGGGACTGATATTTCTGAGTGTGCAATTTGGTGCAAGTCAAATCCAGATCTCGTGGGTTTAAATGTGGTTTCATAAGGGAACTGTTGGGCCTTGGCGAAGGTACGTGCTCTCTGAGTTCTAGTTTCAGATTGTGGCAGTTGAAGAGTCAGAAAACCCAACTCTTAACAAATGGCGTCACTAGTCAAAGTATGTTATTTAACAGAAGCCACAGTAATGATGAGGAAACCATTTCCCACCAACATTTTCTTCATAAAAATCAAGAAAGAACCGTTGCTGGTCGGCTCCTCATTAGTACGGCGAAATAAACATGTAGTAAAACAGAGGAGGAGATGAAGAGATTACAGACAATGCAGAAGAGGAGGATGAGGCAGGTGAGTCAGAGCCGGTGGTACGTTCCTCACCTGGCGGCTGTGGCTCGTCGCCAGGGACACACACAAAAGCAAACAGTTGCACTCGTACACATAACAAAAAGAAAAAGAAAAAAAAAAAATGAACATGCATGGAAACACTACATCAACCCCTGGTACACATCTGACTCAGGCAACCAGGTGGAAGGGCAACAGAGGACACACAACCACACAAACGCGCCCACACACGACACTTAACCCCAGGGCACAACCGAGCTCTCTTACCTCTCTTTCATCACTCGTCTTGTTCTCATCGCGTTCCTCTCTGGAGGGGTGGCGGGGTTCTGCTTCCCTTCCTCTGCGGTGAAGCCCAACTTCTAGTTCTGTTTCCTCCTCTCATGTCAGTCAGCTCTTTCCAAGACCTGAAACAGAGGACGACAGAAAGGGGAAAACAACCATTAAGACACGGTTTGAGTAGAACTGAGATATCACTACCAGAGAGGATCCTGGTGGGATTTCACTTATTGCTTCGCGTGGCGTAGAAAATAGTGTGAGATGCAGGCGAAGAGTTTCATGACCTATAAAAGTTTTCCATCCCAAACCTCAAGTCACTATTTTAAAAAACCTTTATCTGAAATCCTGAGCGATACTGAGACATCGTGAGTGACAGCACCCAGCGTTATATTTACACCGTGCACTGATCTTAGTCAGTGTAACAAGCTGTGAGGTTCATGAAGGGGTCAGGGAGAAGTGAGAGGCAAAGAGCGGCCATAGGAATTTTATCATTATCATCATATATGGCTGCATAATACAGTTTAAATATCTGTGTTGGATTGTTACTGTGTCTATTCCTCCTCCAGCTTTTGTTTGCATAGACGAAGCTAATTGTGCTATTCAGAGGATAATTTTATCACGACCACACTGCTTTGTACACAGACAGGGTTTGTGTGTGTATATTTACATACGTGCGTGTGCATGTAGGGCTTGTCTTACAGTGCAAAGATTAAATTGCTAACAGCTGTGACAGCCGACATTGCGCCCTTTTCGCCGTCTCATTTGCCGCCTACAGCTGCACAGATAAAAAGCGAGGGTTAAGCAAATATTGTACAATGGCCAGGAAACAATGGAGCATCTCCATCCCTCCCGTCCCTCACACTCATTCACACCAACTGCAGCTCTGCTGACAGTGTGTGTGTGTGTGTGTGTGTGT